CCCACCCCAGGCCCAAGCGCTGTTCCACGCTGCAGCCAGGGACAGGCTCCTGAAACCACAGGCACACGCTGGCCTCTTGGGACACAGCTGGCTGCCTCCCTTCCTGACCCGCCCGTGGCCCCACCACTGTCACGGTATCACTGTGACGTGCATTCCCTGGACGGCACGTGTCTCCTCCAGGGGCTGTGAACTCTGGGAGGGCAGGGGCGCTGCACAACCTGGCACCTGCAGGTGCTCACAGAAATTCTTCACAAAGCCATCAATTTGCTCTGCGTGGGTAAACGGCCCTGCGGACCCGGGGACGGGCGGTGTCCCTCCTAGTTCCCTTCTATATTTCCTGGAAGCCAGAGAGCCACAGCTCTTAAAGACCAGGGCTGAGGTCTGAGCCACGGAGCCACGAGGGAGGGTCTGGTCCAGGGCTGCGGCCCCTCCACCCCAGCCGCCCGGCGAGGCATGCGGCCTCATCAGTGAGGTCAACCCAGTGGGTCGAAAAACAAACAGGCCTCTGGAGGCTCCGACTCAAATTCCTCCTCAATGACTAACCCAGACAACAAAGGAAAGGGCCAGGGGTGGAAAATGCGCAGAGGGCCTGGTGGCTGCAGGGCAAGCGGAGGACGCCATGCCGGGAGGATGGCAGACTGCCTGGCCTCTCCCGTGCCCCACAGGGCTGCAGTCCAGGGTGGAGACCTGGAGACCTGAGCCGGAATTCCCAGCCTGTCCCCACGCTCACTGCCACAATGCCAAAGCAGGTTCCCTCACCCACCTAAAAGCTCCCATCAGCCTCCAACTCCTCTGCCTGATGTCAAAGCCCCCGCGCTCACCCACCCCTCCGGCCCTGCAGGATTTTCCCGAGAGACCCTGGCTCTTGCCGCGACATGTCCTCACCAGTGTCACAGCCCTGCGCGACCCCATGACATGCCTTAGAACAGCGTCCCCTAGGGTTGTGCAGTGCACAGCACGGCCGCCCTCCTCCCCAGCACCCCGAGCCCCACCTCATGGCCTTTTGCACCTCAGGACCTCACCGGGCATAGCCCAGCAGAGAGCAGTGACTGGGAACTGGCCAGGGCTGGTCAGGACGCCAGCTCCGTCCTCCATGGCGGGGACCCTGGTTGGTGTCCTCAGCTGGGGGTCATGGAGGAACAGGTAGGGGTGTGCCTGGCAGGGAGCTTGACCCTGGAAGGGGCCTGCTGTCCCCACCCCTCCACGCCACCAGCCTCTGCAGAAATGTCTGATCACCTGCCAGTGTCACCTGTCGCCAGAGCCATCAGGGCAGACAGCCGTGCACCGCCCCGCGGTGTTTCACCAGGAGAGGAAGCAGCCTGTAGCCAGGCCGGGAGACTGTGAACCTTCGCCTGCACGGCTGCCCCGAGTGGGCTCCGAGGTGCCCACAGGCCCTGCCCTTGTTCATGATTCCCAGTGCATCTTCCTTGCTAAAGAATGAAGGGCCTCCGGGGGGTGTTATCCCCGAAGGAGGCGGCGTCACCGCTCTCACTGCATTGGTTATTACGAGATTCTCTGTGCACACGATCTGGGGCTCACCTGTGTCCAACAACAGACCGCCCTCCCCCCGGGCACAGGCCCGCCTGACCCGGCACCACCCCACTCTCGGGGTGGACTGGCTTGGACCCCAAATCCCCAGTGTACAAGCCCCATGGTCCTGGGCAAAGTGGGTCCCATCCCAGACGCCCCACGTCACTGTCCGTAAGAAGGACATGCTGCCGGGGGCCTCGCTAGGGGAGTGGCTGGCAGGGTCCTGTACCCGGCCTGGACCGTGCAGGCAACCTGAGCTCTGCCCACTAGACACCATTAGGGCCCCTCCCCAGTGCCCCCAACCAGCCCCACACTGCGGGGGACACAGCCGGGAGGGTCTGCGGGGCTGCAGGTTAGGGCCTCAGAGACTGTCCCTTCCATACAAGACAGAAGACAAGGAGGCCCAGGGAGAGAAAGGAACAAAAGATGATCAGGCGCCCGTGCTGACAGCAGGATATCGTTTTAAGGGTGTCAAGTGTGAAGAGGGGGCTCCAAATGAGCTGAGAATTGATGAGAATGGAAGACCTGAAAGGCATCTGGGATAACAGAGGGCAGAGACCTCGTGACCCCAACACAGAGCCGCTGACCGTGAGCCTGACCCAGCGAGCCCTGAGACGCGCCCTGCACGGACCCAATGCCTGCCCAGCAGGGGGTAACAGCCACCAGCCTGATCCCCGCTCCCTCCTCCCAGGCTCTGCCCTGACAAAAAGCAGACACTTCAGGGGCCATCCAGTTCCAACGGCACTTAGCTCCAGCCCCGTCACCAATGGCAGAAGAGGCCTCTCCCGTGGAACCACGCCACGGGGCCTTCCAGATGGCGGTGGAGAAAGCAGCAGATTCCCGGTCCTCCCATGTCCACTGTCTCAACCACGCACCGCGGCTGGGCACCCACTCAAGGACAGACACGCAGACACGCAGAGAGATGACAGAGGAACAGGGAGTGAGATGCTGGACTGAGAAGGAAGGATGGATATGGAGACAGGTGGCTCACTGCAGGATGGAAAGGGGCGCAGCGGAACGGCCCATCCGTGGACGGCTGCACGAAGGGTGGCTGCGCAGGGAGTGATGAGGGAAGGGACGTCACCACCCTGCAGGTCCCGTTGATGGGCCTGCAAAGCTTCGGGTTGCAACACTGGCCTGACCCTCCGCCCTGCCCTGGGAGGCCTCAGTCTTGCTTTCGGACCAGACGTGAAGGAAGGTGACGTCCCGGGCTGTGTGGAATTCTCACAGCAACTCTGGCAGGAGGCCTGTGTGGAGTGACGGTGGTGGCTACTCCGCGGTCTAAACCAGCCGTCTAAACCAGCCGTCTAAACCGTCCCCAACCTTTCTGGCACCAGGGACTGGCTTTGTGGAAGGTAATTTTTCCACGGACAGGGGGTGGGCCATGGTTTCGGGATGACACTACTCCACCTCAGATCATCAGGCATGAGACGCTCATGAGGAGCACGGAGCCCACATCCCGCGCACGCAGGCGCAGCTCACAGGAGGGTTTGCGCTCCCGCGAGGATCTAACGCCCTGCGGATCTGCCAGGAGGCGGAGCTCAGGCGGGAATGCCAGCGCAGGACGGCTCACCTCCTGCTGTGCCGCCCAGCCCTAACAGGCTGCGGACCAATACCCGTCCAAGATCAAGGGGCTGGAGGCCCCGGTCTAGACACTGCCAGCATCCCGAGTCCTCCTGGGGAGTGAGACGACAGGAAGAACCACAGAAGGGAACCCCTGCCCAGCCCCAGCCCCTGTACCAAGGCCCTGGGCCTGTCCTGACCCCCAGGTCTGGGGGTTGGAGAACCTCGTTGGGCATCCTGCTCTTTTTCCTTTCCCAGAACAGAGTCTCTCCTTCCTTCCTGGCCAGTAGGTCCAGAGTCCGGAGAAGCTGCTGACAGATGGCATCAGAGTGGGGAGATTTTATGGTGAAATTTCAGCTGGGGGCGGGGAGGGGGGTTGCCCTGCTGAGGAATGCATGTTGCTATGGAAGGGGCCACAGTCGGGAGGCACGCCCCCTGCCCACCACACTCAGAGGTGGGATCAGTCTGAAACTCATTCCACAGGCCGTGACAACCCACCTCCCACTGCCACCGAGGCTGGCCTGAGGTCTGGACACCAGGCACCTCTGCAGCACCCTGCATCTGGTGGCCACACACTAGCCGGGTGCCCCACGTAAGGCTCAGCACACACACCTGCCGCCACCCCTCACCTGCAGGCACTGACTGCCCAGCCCGTGACACCTCCGGATGAAAAGACTGCCCTCGGTGCACACACGCTGTTAACTTGAAACTAAGTCATGCAGAAGAAAGGACTCAACAGGGGCAGGTGGACATGGGCAGGTACAAGAAAGGGATTCCTGCAGGGGGTGTGGCCAACCTAAAGATGGAGAGAGAGACACAATCTCAGAGGGAACTGACAGCAGCGACGCAGAGTCTGCAGCCACACAAGGCATGTCCCTGGCGCACATAAGCCACCCAGCCAGCCGGGCTGCTCACGCAGGACAGCAGGGGGATGTTCCAGACAAGGGCAGAGCCCACCCACACGGAAGAGGCCTGGATCCCACCGTTCCGATGGCCATGGGGGCTGCAGAGCAGACCTAAGACCCTAATTGAGGCCTGGGAGGAAATGTTGCCAGCCAAGCGACAGCCCGCCCCGAATACGCACGGGGCGTGTCCAGCTTCCCGCTGCACCTGCTGGGCACCCTCCTCATGCTGGTCATCACTGCTCTCCATCTGTCTTTACTCACAGACATGCTCCTCCTTCAACCCTGTCATTTCTCAAAGGATTACAAAAAGAGCACAGCTGAACTTCACCAGAGACACTAGGCTGCAGCCACCTGCCATGATGGCCCACGGCAGTGCCAGCGGGCTGGGCTCCGCACACACGGCATGGCCAGCAGGAGCCCTCGCTGCAGGGGCGGGACCTGTGAGCTTGAGGAGGAACCAGATGATGAATCCTGGTTTCCACAAAGGTAACGTATCCCTCTGTGCTGGAGGAAGGGAGGGAGGATGACGCCAGGCACCAGGGCCCACCTTGCCGGAGGGCTGTGTCTACACAGGAATGTTTCACGTGGTCACCCAGCTCCCAGGAGGACCCAGAGCCTGGGCAGCTGCCACTGGGTACACGTCTTTTTTCTCTGTACCTGGGCCTCACACAGGCCTGGCACCCAGGAAGGGCTGGCAAAGCTGAGTCAGGATGGATGGCGTGGGTCAACTGCAGAACTGCACCAGCTTCAAACCAGAGTCTCTCATGGGCCCAACTGCCCCAAAAGACATGTTGAGATGGGCAGGCAGTGCCAGTCTCTGAGCCCTGCCCGGCTGCTGTAGGGGCCGCGTTCACTCCAGGATGATGCCAAGTGAGTGTCGAAGGTCCACCCCATTTCTTTTTTGTGTCGGGGGGACAGAGTCTCACTCTGTCGCCCAGGCTGGAGTGCAGTGGCACGATCTCAGCTCACTGCAACCTCCACCTCCCAGGTTCAAGTAATTCTCCTGCCTCAGCCTCCCGAGTAGCTGGGATTACAGGCATGCACCACCATGCCAGGCTAATTTTTGTATTTTTTTTTTTCAGTGGAGACAGGATTTCACCATGTTGGCCAGGCTGCTCTCGAACTCCTGATCTCAAGTGATCCTCCCATCTTGGCCTCCCAAAGTGCTGGGATTACAGGCGTGAGCGACCACGCCCAGCCCCACACCATTTCTGAACTCACTCTCCTATCATTTCGGAGTCAGGGGTAAAAGCCTAGCTCCACGGACCTAAGTGTTGCCACACAGCCTGTCTCTACAAGATGCACTGGATTCCACCCGTGCAGGCAGATTTCAGGACTCAGAAGGCAGTGAGAAACCTCTCCCACTATCCCAAAATGCTCAGCGGAACCCAGCACAGGGATGCACCTGAGAACCAAGGGCAGCTCCACTGCCCCGAGCCTTTTTCCCTGCAGGAAAGAAGGTGTAACACCAGGGCCTGCCTTCCCCACAGAAGCCATGACTGGTAGCTGAGACCTGGAGCGATAATAAGGCTGGACTTTCACGCCTTCCCACCCTCAAGAGTTACTCTGAATATTCAAGTTACATCCAGCAGAGACACCTCTCCTTCGTGAAGCTCCGGGAAGGTGAGCGGTCCAGCCGTCAATCACGTGGGATGGACCTACGCTTCCTGGTGTCCCTGCCTCCTCTGTGTCACCCCAGCAAACCACAATCAGCACACTCCATGGCCTCCCCCAGCACAGGACTGGCAGCAGGTGACCCCAGTGACTTGCTGTTTCCCAGACTGAGCTCCTGAGGTAAGGGACAAGTGTCGTCCTGAATCCACAGTGGTGAAGAGAGCTTAGCTCAGAGCAGATGCTTGGCACAGTGCTCACAGGAAGGAAGAAGGAAGGAGGAAGCCAGCCAATGAGAAAGCAGAGGAACAAATAACCAACAGAGCCAATCAATAGATGATCAAACCAACCGATGAACAAATGCAGGAATGACCCAACCATGGGACCAGAGGACAAACCAAGTGAACAAATAAGCCATGACCCACCAGCAAATAAAGGAAGGGCCAAATCAACTGGCCAAGCACTCGGAGGAACTGTGCCTTCGTGGATTTGTGATGGATGCCAGCGGAAGGAGGAGCCTTTCAGGAGCAGCAATTCTGCAGGATCCCGGTGAGGATGTGCACATACCCTGGCCCGGCATGTCCCTCTTCAGGGCTGAATCCCACAGAAAGGTTTGCGCTGTGCCAGGATGGCCAAGGCTTGCTCACAGCAGCAAAGAACTGAAAGCAGGGCAAATGCCCATCAATCGGGAACCAGTTAGATCAACTGCATCTGCCAAATATGCTGCAGAGGCCAGACGGGAAGGGTTCATGCAGATGGCCATGAGATGGAGAGATGGCCCAACATGTCCTCAAGCCATGGAAATGCTTATAAAGCACGGTCCCTTTTATGTTAAAATAAGTAAAAGACAGCAATGTCATCTGATAACACATCACTGGAATACACACACCACTAAGTCGAGAACTTACCCATCAAATACCCATCAAAGAGCTGAGGGGCTACTTCTAGAAAGGGGCTGAAGTTTGGTAGGGCAGTGAAGGAGAAGGTCTGATGATCATTCTCTAAATCCCTCTACTTCATAAAAATTGTGTAAATAGCCACATAAAACTTGCACAATTTTGTTAAGAAAAAAAAAATTGCCAAACAAAATTTTAAAGTGTGGAAGTTTAAAAATGGCCACAAATTATCTAACATAACAGCCCATCAAGGAGTGGTGTCTATGTCCCCTTCCCTTTAATAAAGGTGGGCTTTGTGACCCCCAGACCGATAGAATGTGATGAGGGCAACATGGCTGGCTCACAGGTCTGGGCTTTAAGAAACTGGGAAACTGTACTCCCCTGTCTCTTGGAATGCTCCTTCTTAGGACAAAGACGCCATGCTGTGGGGAAGCTCAAGCAACCCCTTGGAGGGCCTCACGTGAAGAGAACCCCAGGCCCCCAGCCAACAGCAAGGATCAATACCACAACGTGTGAAAAAGCCATCTAGAAATGGATCCCCAGCCCTAGTTAAACCACTCACCCTGAAGCCATGTGGTGCACACAAAGGGTCCCCAAAAAACCCCTCAAACTACAGATTCACATACAAAGTAAGAGGATGCTATTAAGACACCAAGTTTTGGGGTGATTGTTCTGAGACAATACAGAACCACAACAAAAAGCAGGCAATAAACAACAAGATGTGTATAAATCTTGCTGAAATACACAGGAGATGGTCTTACAACTAGAAAAAGAGCAGGACCAATATATAATGTTCAACGTTCCTAGTAGCCAAACACGAATTACATCAAGAGGCCTTTGTCTCCCATGGCACAAATTTTTTTTTTAAGTGACCAATTTTTGGCAAGTATGCAAAATCTCATTCAGTACCCACAGGAGTCTAAATTGACATCTCTCAGGAGACAGTTTGACACTTGGTACTGAAAGTCTTAGGGGCATTCATTCTCCTCATGCTCCTATGGGAGTTTGACAATGAATTTGGGAAAAGCACAAATGCTTAATCACCGAAGCTCACCCAACAATTACGTGCAACACACACCATGCTCGGCTAACGTTCATATTTTTAGTAGAGACGAGGGGGTTTCGCCATGTTGGCCAGGCTAGTCCTGAACTCCTGACCTCCGGCGATCCACCCACTTCAGCCTCCCAAAGTGCTAGGATTACAGGCGTGAGCCTCCGCACCGTGCAAAATTGATTCTTTTTAAGTGTGCAGGTGAATGAGTTTGGGCAAATGGATAGTCCTATACCCTTTCCCCCTTCCCCTGACACACACACCACACACACACACACACACACACACATGCTCATTCTCAAGGTATGAAACATGTCCATCACCCTCACGGAGCTCTCTCACGTCTCTCCCCACTCATCTTTTTCCTGTCCCTGCAGTTTTGCCTCTTCTCAAATGTCATGTAAATGGAACCACGTCCTCTGCATCTTTCATGTCCGCTTCTGTCACTTAGCGCTGTGCTTCCGTGCCACCCTGCTTGGGTACCCACGCCTTCCACCACTGAGCAGGACTCTACGTAAGGAGGCGCCCCCGTGTGTATGTCCCCGTACCACGTGGGCTCTTGGGCTGCTCCCTGCGTGAGGCTATTGCAATCACACAGCACATGAGTGCCCACATACGTGGCTCTGTATGGACACATGTTTCACTTCTCTTGAATGAACACCTAGACGTGGAATTGCTGTGTCCTGTGGTAAAGGGAGGGATAATCTTATAAAACACAGCCAAACTGCTTTCCAAAGTGGTTGCACCCCTTTGCACCCCCACCAAGAATGGGTGATGGTTTTTCCACATCCTCACTCACACTCCTGCAGGCAGTGGTATCCCCTTATGGTTTTAATTTGTATTTCCCCGGTGACTAAAGCTGAGAGGCATCTTTTCAGATGCAGGGTGTCCACGCCTCTGTCTTCTTTTGTGGAACATCTGTCCGAATCTTCTGCCCAGGTTTAAGCTGGGTCATTTGCCTCCATGCTGTGGAGTTGTGACCATGTCTTATATATTTTAGATGTAAGTTATTTGTCAGATATGTGTTTTACACACATTTCATTCTAATCTTATTACCTTTCCATTTTCCTAACAGTGTCTTTTGAAAAGTACAAGGTGTGGTTTTAATAAAGCCCGATTTATCAGCTTTTTAATCTTTTACGGTGCATAGTGTTTGTTTCCTGTCTAAGAAATCTTTGCCAAACTCAAGGTCAAAGAAACTCAAGATTTTTTTTTGTCTTATGCTTTATAAAAGTTTTAAATCTTGCATTTAAATCTATGACCCATCTTAATTTTTGAATATTATTTGAGGTAAGAGTCAGGGCTCATTTTATTGCAAATAGATATCCAATTGTTTCAGCACCATTTGCTAAGACTGTTCGTTCACCATTGCATCTTAGCGCTTTTATGGAAAATCAAATGATTCTATTTCTGGACTTGATTCTATTCCACTGGTCTATATGTCTTTCTATCAACAGGACACTGCCTTCATCATTACAGCTTTAGAGTAAGTCTCGAAATCACGAAGCATAAGCCCTCTGATGTTCTTCTTTTTCAAAACTGTTTTGGTTATATTATGTCCTTTGCATTCCCAAATGAATTTCAGAATCACCTCGGCAATCTCTATTTTTAAAAAGCTTGCTGGGATTTTAATTGGCGTTAAATTGAATCTGTAGCTCAACTGAGGTGAAATATCACCTTAAAAATATTTTGTCTTCTGGTCCATGAAAATGGTATATCTCTGCATTTAAATCTTAAGATCATCATTGATTTCTCTGAGCAGTATTTTGTGATCATCAGTAAATATAGGTCATGCATATTTTCATTAAATATATCTCTAAGTATTTTATATTTTTGATGCTCTTTTAAGAGCTTTTTAAATTTCTGTTTCCAACTGTTCATTGCTAGTATCTAGAAACACAATGAATTTTTATATGTTGACTTTGTCACCATGCTAAACGTGTTAGTTCTAGAAGTTATTTTGTAGATTCCTTAGATTTTTCTTACATAGTCAATAATGTGGTCTGCAAATAAATGCAGTTTGACTTAAACCTTTCCAACCAATATGCCTTTTACTTTATTTTCTTCCCTGGCTAGGATCTCCATACAATGTTGAATAGCCGTGATAAAGGCAGCATCCCTGCCTTGCCCCTGATCTTAGGGTAAAAGCATTTAGTATGTAGATTTTACATGAATGTCCTTTATCAAATTGTGGGACTTCTTTTTAACTCCTAATTTGTTGAGATTTGCTTACCATGTTTTAAGTTCGAAGCTACTACAAAGTAGTACGTAATCCCAATTTTGTGAATACAGGCATGGAACAAACAGTAGAAAAGAAATACATCAAAATGTTCCTTTAGCCGTGTCGGTGGTTATATTTAGCAGAAACCAACAACACTGTCATCACCATCACCATCACCATCATAGTGGTTTCAGCAAATCAGACATTATGACTCATCTTCATTTTCTTCCTTGTACTTTTTGGTAGCTTTTAACATTTCTAGCATGGACACATATTGCTTTTATAACAGAAGAATGCCAGCTGGCATTTGGCAGGAAGCTGTGTTACGTAATTAAATACATAGATACGTAGTGTCTTCTCTCCATTTCTACCTGAGACTGAGAGATGTTCACAGACGGTTGGCCTCTGCCTCGATAATGGGCAATTTTTAACTGGCCTTTATAAAAACAAAACCGCATTTGCACGTGTCAGGAACGCCCCCACTTCCAGGAGTGTGAGGTTTGAAGCGGGCCGCCCCACGCACTCGTCCTCCTGCGGCCCTTGGTAAGGCCCACGTGCAGCTTGCACACTTGCCCTTTCAGACAAAACTGTGGGACGTGGACGAAAGACAAGCGCACCTGTGCTCACCGCCCTTCCCCAGCTCCGGCGGCGGACAGCACTCGCCTTTACGTCGCATTGCCACGGGCAGCTTTAGAAAGACAAGGACGTTGGCCCTGGAGACGGTTCGCACCTACTGAATGCTACACAGCAGATGATGCCTTAGAAGGCTATTCCACACAACGGAAAGCCACGCTCCGTCCACCCAGCCACACACGTGCAGGTCCAGACGTGCAGCTCCTCACGCCCACCCGGGGAGGCAGCTTCAGAGCTCAGGCTGCTGCGGTGAGCCCCACGGAGTTCCTCTGGCTCTGTGACCTCAGCTCTGAAATGATTTTATTCGATCCTTTGATGCAGGTAAAGGAGCGTTGCACTGGGCCACTCTGACCTCTGGGGGGAATATTTTACACGACTTCCCCCAGGACCAGCAGCATTTTGCAATGATGAGAGCTATGTGTGTTTTCAAAACACTCGAGATGGACTCAACACCAGTTACGTGGGCCTGAATGAACCATAACCGTACCGTGGGAGATCACAGAAACTCGGCAAATGACGCACCACAAACTGGTGCACAGGGCGGGACTCGGAGCCGACTTCCGTCCGTGAGTGAGCTGCACGCCCAGTAGGTTAATGGAGCCCCGCTGGTGCTCTCTGGGGTGGATATCCAGGGGCTCCCCAGGTGTCGCCTGCACAGGCTCAGACAGCTCAGTCGGCCCTCCCGGAAGCTGGTAGAGCACCAGTGTGTGGGGTCCCATGGAGCGCATTTTCACACTGAAAACTTCAACAGCGAGAACCCAACCTGCTGCCCCGATGACTGAGTCAGGCCGTGGCACCAGATCTGCCGCAGGCCCCCCTGCACATCTCCCACAGCAGCCCAGGCCGCCCCTCTGCCAGCCAGCGCCAGGCATCAGCTCCATCCTGGCCTGGCGGCACTCCTGTGTGGAAGGTGGGCCCAGGCACACGCATTCAGTGCAGCCACCTGCTGGGGAGCAGACCTACGAGTCAGCAGGACCCCCACATGGACGGCGCTGTCCACTTCATCACCGCAGCGGGGACTCCGAGCAGATGGCCAGAGAAAGGGAGCAAAGGAGGGGAACTCACTAGACCATCTAGTGAATGTCTGCTGGGTTCTAGAACATTCCCTCGCATTTTCTGACTCAAAAGGAGGAGAGGTCTGAAGCTCGGCATGCACATGAGTTTTTACCATTATGAATAATCCAGCTTCTCGGGAAGGCCTGTGGAGCAGGAAGTGCTGCCCCATCCTCCAGACAAGGACCCGGGGGCTCGCCTGAAGGGGCCCCAAGACATCCCACAGGCCCAGGAAACAACCACACCAGGGTCCAAGCATTAAATCACAGCTCTCCACTGCCTCCCTAGGAGCAGAGAAGGGGAGGTAACTGGCTTAGCAGGGGATGAGCTGCCCCGGTTCCCAGACATGGGATCCATCTGGATTTAACACCTGAGGATAACGCTGCCCAGGGCACAGTTAATCAGGTGACAACTGCCTGTTAGTTGGAATGTAATCCTGCAATAAGAAGGCTTCAAAATGTAACTATGCTCGGATGCAGTGAGTCAAAGTCTAAGAATCTGCCCTAAGGAAATAATCAGAGAGGCAGAAAGGATTTACCAGAAAGATGTTCATCCAAGTGTTACTTACAACAGCAGGCAATTGGAAACAACTGAAGCCCAACATGGGAGGAACAGTCAAGAAAACTGTGACTGGAGCATGCAGTGGAGTGTTCTGCAGCCATTGGGATATTTATAAAGAGCTGATAATGACGTCAGAAAACCTCTGTGTCTAAGGGCAGGGCACAACGCCATTTCTGCACACGAGCTCAACCGTGTAAAGAAAAAGTGTGAGGAAAGGGAAAGAAGAAGTCATTTTGATCTTTCCCAAATGTGCTCTAATGAGTGTGCATTCCTTTCAGAGTCAAGAAAAGTTAACAAAGTTATTTGGAGAATGAGCTGGGTCTCTGAATCTACAAGCAAATATCCAGGGACACGTGGACTTCCCACCTCCCCGTTCTCAGTGGCCACCACGGAGTTTTCTTACGTCTCACTGTCAACAGAAATGCTCTCCTCACTTCTCCCCACCGTCCACACCCCACCTCTGCCGAGAGCCAGACTTACTTCCACACCCCCAGCTCCTCCAGTGCAGTGGGCTGCCTCCTCTCATAACTCCTAGAAAGCACTCAGCACCTCATGATGATCTGACTGTACCATTGGCTGCTGCTCCAACTGGATTTCTCTTATCTCTCAGTTCAAGCCAACAAAATAGCTTGAGAATCTAGTCATGTCTGGTACCACTCTAAGCAGTGCAGAAGCTAGTAAGTTAGCCACTCCTGGCCCT